AGGTGGGTGGATCACCTGAGGTCAGGAGTTCAAGACCAGCCTGGCTGTCAGGGTGAAACCCCATCTTGTAAAAAAAAAAAAAAAAAAAGAAAAGGGGAGGATTATCACCAAATTCAAGATGGTGGCTCTCTTGGGGCAAATGTGTCAAGGAAGAGTACATGGGCTTGGAATACTCTTCATGGACCTGCATGTTGGGTACACAGGAGTTTATTTTATTACTTTTCACACTGCATATGTGCATGTTACATAGTCTCCCATATATACCTTGCATTTTACACAAGAACACAGATGATGTGTGGTTCTGCTCTGCTCCTTTCCCCATCCAGCTCCCTTTCTCACCCTCAGCTGGCAGAGGAGGGGTCACAGTCTTTAATCACAGCTTCCTTCTTCTGTCTCCGAGTGGGTCAGAGGAGTATGGGGGGTGAGGGCCTCCCTTCTGCAGCTGGGCCCCAGCCACTCCAGGGTGGGAAGGCCTGGAGAAAACAGGGCCAGGCAAAACCGGCTGGCCCTGCTGTTTCTGCCAATGCTGGGATTAGGCCAGGGCTCTGGCCCACCTGTCATTTCACTCATTCAGCATGAACATAGCCACTGAGCACTTACTGTGAGCCCTGGGTACTATTGGGAGGGTTCAGATAAGTGAGAGATGGTCTTTGACCTCAAAGATAGTATAATACACTCAGAGAGCACCATATACACAAAAAAAACCGTATACCAGCAAAATGTGAGCTAAGTGTCATGTGACTACTCATCTACTCTTTAACCATTTGTTGTACACCTATTACATGTTAGGAACTGTGCTGGATGGTGATCATGTAAAGACAGTTAAATCACAGTCCTGATTAACTGGGCATGGTGGCAGGTGCCTATAATCCCAGCTACTCAGGAGGCTGAGGCAGAGAATTACTTGACCTGGGAAGCAGAGGTTGCAGTGAGCTGAGATCGTGCCATTGCACTGCACTCCAGCCTGGGCAAGACGGAGTGAGACTCTAGTCTCAAAAAAAAAAAAAAAATCACGGTCCTGGCGCTCAAGTTCATAACCTGCCTAATGCCGGGGAAACACAACTGTGTGGCAAGCCCATCAGTGTAGATATGCCCAGGGAGAAGGAGGAAGGGGACCCATCCTGGATGGATGACATGGAGACAGAGGAGCAAGGAAAGGTTGGGGAAGGGAGGTCTTCCTGAAGGAGGCAGGCCCTGGCTTAAAGCTTTAGAGATGAGGAAGCAAGAGAAAGGTTGAAGGCCTGGAAGGACTTCCTGAGCTGCTCCAGACCAGCTGGGGCAAAGGCACAGGGGTAAGAAACACAGCAGTGTGCTCGCTTCAGCAGCACATATACTAAAATTGGAAGGACACAGAGAAGATTAGCATGGCCCCTGTGCGAGGATGACACGCAAATTCGTGAAGCATTCCATATTTTTTTTACACTGTTGGTGGGAGTGTAAATTAGTTCAACCATTGTGGAAGACAGTGTGGCGATTCCTCAAGGACCTAGAAATAGAAATTCCATTTGCCAGCAATCCCATTACTGGGTATATATCCAAAGGATTATATATCATTCTACTATAAGGACACATGCACACGAATGTTCACTGCAGCACTGTTTACAATAGCAAAGACCTGGAACCAACCCTAATGCCCATCGATGATAGACTGGACAGGGAAAATGTGGCACATATACACCATGGAGTACTATGCAGCCATAAAAAATGATGAGTTCGTGTCCTTTGTAGGGACATGGATGAACCTGGAAACCATCATTCTCAGCAAACTGACACAAGAACAGAAAATCAAACACCAAATGTTCTCACTCATAGGTGAGTGTTGAACAATGAGAACACATGGACACAGGGAAGGGAGCATCACACACTGGGGACTGTCGGGGGAAAACAGGGGAGGGACAGCGGGGGTGGGGATTTGGGGAGAGATAGCATGGGAGAAATGCCAGATATAGGTGATGGGGAGGAAGGCAGCAAATCACACTGCCATGTGTGTACTTATGCAACAACCTTGCATGTTCTTCACATGTACCCCAAAACCTAAAATGCAACTAAAAAAAAAAAAACACACACAGCAGTGAGGACTCCTTGCAACAAGAACACGAACATTCAGCAGGGAAGGAGGAAAGCAGCAGAAGGGGAAGGCCCAGGCATATTAGAGTCATATTTGCCTTGCCAAGCCTTTGATCTTATAGGTGCTGGCAGCCACTGAAGAATTTTTGGGGGAGCTTGATAGTTCACTGGTTCAGTGTAGAGGAAGGGTTGAGGGGCATGGCCTGGAAGAAGGGAGGCAAGTTGGCAGGATGTTGAAGATCCAAGAAATATTTAAGAGATATCAGGCTAGCCTCTGACAGCGGGTGGGTGGTAGATGAGGGAGAGGCTGAATTCTGGAATGGTCCCTGCAAAAGTAACCACGTAGAGCACACAGGGAGAGGAGAGTTCCCACTTGGCACTAGCATAGCTGTGGGCTCTGGGTGCCTAGTGTGGACAGGGGCTGGGGACAGCAGGAATGTGGATGGGGCTCTGCAGCATCTGATTCCAGGGCTCCCAACCACTGGCCCGTGGACAGGGCTGGCCAGAGGAAGTAAAAAAAAGTATGGCCATAACTTTTCATAAATCAAATGTATGCACTTTAAAGAACTATCCTTGGTCTGGGTGCGGTGGCTCATGGCTGTAATCCCAGAATTTTGGGAGACTGAGGCGGGTGGACCATGAGGTCAGGGGTTCGAGACCAGCCTGGCCAATATGGTCAAACCCCCGTCTCTACTAAAAATACAAAAATTAGCCAGCATGGTGGTGTGTGCCTATAATCCCAGCTACTTGGTAGGCTGAGACAGAATAATTGCTTGAACCCAGGAAGCAGAGGTTGCAGTGAGCCTAGATTGTGCCACTACACTCCAGCCTGGGTGACAGATTCTGTCAAAAAAAAAGCCTACAATTAAATCAGTAAGTAAGCATGTCACTTAGAGGCACAAAGTTAATTACCAAAAGAAGCTCCTTAAAGATTCAAAAGTGGTTTTGTCCTGGGATTGGGAATGGGGATAGGAGGGACAGGGACTTTTATTTTTTTAAATAAGCTTTTGAAAACTAGTATTTTTAAAAACCGTGAACATGAAGCACATACAAAAATTTAAGGGCTGGGGACACTGGCTCAGTGCCTATAATCCCAGCACTTTGGGAGGCAGAAGCATGAGGATCTCTTGAGCCCAGGAGTTTGAGCCCAGCCTGGACAATATGGTGAAAGCCTGGCTCTATAAAAAATACAAAAATTAGTCTGGCATGGTGGTGCATGCCTCCAGTCCTAGATACTGGGGGGTTGGCAATGGTGAGGGCTGAGGCCAGAGGATTGCTTGAGCCCGGAAGGTCAAGGCTGCAGTAAGCTGAGATCATGCCACTGCACTCCAGCCTGGGTGACATAGTGGGACCCTGTCTCAAAAAACAAACAAATAAATAAATAAATAAAAATCCTGGCCATTGTCTGAGTTTGTATTCTTTATTTTATTTTTTTTTTTTTTGATATGGAGTTTTGCTCTTCTTGCCCAGGCTGGAGCCTCCCGAGTAACTGGGATTACAGGCATGCACCACCATGCCTGGCTAATTTTTTATATTTTTAGTAGAGACGGGGTTTCTCCATGTTGGTCAGGCTGATCTCAAACTCCCAGACTCAGGGGATCCACCTGCCTTGGCCTCCCAAAGTGCTGGGATTACAGGTGTGAGCTAACGTGCCCAACCCCTTTATACTTTTTGTTAGAAATGACCATTCTTGACCAGGCACCGTGGCTCAAACCTGTAATCCCAGCACTTTGAGAGGCTGAGGCTGGTGGATCACTTGAGGCCAGAAGTTAGAGACCAACCTGGCCAACATGATGAAACCGTCTCTACTAAAAATACAAAAGATAGCCAGGCATGGTGGCACATGCCTGTTATCTCAGTTATTTGGGAGGCTGAGCTGAGGCATGAGAATCGCTTGAACCCAAGATGCGGAGGTTGCAGTGAGCCGGGTTGCACCATGCACTCCAGCCTGAGTGACAAAAAAAAAAAAGGCCTTGTATGAAATGATGGTAACAGGATAGCCTTCTCCTGCCCCGCTTCCCTTTAATGTACTTATTGGCTAAAATAAAACGTCGTTGAGTCCTGAAATCCCAGAATGGGTGCCTTGGAACCAGAACCCCGGGCAAAGGCAAGATAGACGGGCTCCGTGCGTCTGCAATCCTGCAGTCGGCCGGCAGGGGGCAGGCGAGCTCCATGCGGCACCTGAGCTGGATCTGGCGAGCCAGTGCTGCGCTCCAAGAAGTGCGCTGCCCCAGAGAGAGGGTCAGAGGAAGGACTCTGAACCCGCCCTAGGCTGGGGGTCTCGACAGATGACCACCTGGGTCCTAGGTCTCAGCTCCCGTCCGGCAGGTGGTGGACTGGGCACCCCTCCCCAGACCACATACTGCGTTTACGCTAGCTCTAGTCCAACCCGCTGAAGGCAACTCACCTTACCCGTTTTCTGGAAGGGGGCCCTGCGTGAAACCTTGCCTCCCGCACCAGTTGTGCAAAGATTAAGGAGCTCAGACTTGAGAGGGTTACACGTTTGTTATCACTAGATTATATGGATTTAGAATTAGGACTCAGGCTCCTGGGGAAGCCCGCTCTAGGACCCACATGGTGGTCGCCGTTGTCTAGAATCACCTGTGGGGATGCGATTAGGTCTGGAGCAGGATCCAGCAACCTGCATTTTTCTTCCTGGTCGCCAAATTCTGATAATGGGTGTGCTCAGACCATGCTTAAAAACATCCCTAGGTTCTGTTGCCCTTCCACAGGGCAGGCAGCATCAACAGCAGCACTCTGTCCTGAGAGTGTGACCTGCCTAAAACTGGAGTGGAATAAAAGGCAGCCGCGGAGGGAGCAGTGCTGGCAGCTGTGCTACAGGTTTGCCCAACGCGTGTAGACAACAAAACACACTCACCAGAACCAAAGCAGACGTGCCCCTTGCTCTTCCATTTACCACACAGGCTACATGGTTCATTTTGGTTTGTTGCTTTTATTTTTAAAACATTTCTCTTTTGCTTCACACACAGAATCAGGAGAGCAGTCACCTCCCCAAGTCGGCAGGGCTTAGACAAACTGGATGAATTCTGCCACATTGTGTATTAGCGTGTGGTTGCTCTAGCCACACACTAAGTCAGTGAGATGGCCCTTTTACTCACATTCAGCTCCAACACAGCAGGGGGCAAGACAGGGATGTGAAGGGACTGCCTATGAGCCCAGGATTTTGCCCTCAGGATGGGACTGAACTGGGGTTGGTGAGGCGCTAACCCCCTGTGGAGATTCAAGCTGGGAACAGCACTTGGCTGCAGGCCAGGACCGAAAGCCAGGATAGGCTCGGCTGGATGAGAGCCAAGAAAACCAGTTCCCTCTTACAGGAGCTCAGGAGTCTAACAACCCAGACCCATTCCCTTCTCAGACCACCCTCTATCCTGCACAGGACTCCTGTACAGTGGGGCCCCAGGCTGGAATTCTCAGAACACCCCCATTTTTGCCACTAGCAGATCTGGATTCTAGTTCCAGTTTAGACCTAAAGAAAGCCAAATTGTGTTGATCTTTTTAAAAACATAGGGGTGGTGTTCAGAAATTTGTAAGCTTCCTTCTGCTGTACGAACTTATGACTCTGGGCTCCCTGCTTCCTTGAAAACTCACTGGGAGATCTGGGAAAGGGAGGCTGAGACCTCTATCCTAAGGGCTGATTTTACCTTCCTGTCTCTCATGAAAGGATGGGCTGGAGGGCATGAATAAGGCCTGGGCCAGCCACTCTCCAAGGACACAAGCTGAATCCAGACAGGAAGCAGTGGCGAACAGATTGCTTCTCCCCAAAAACACTGGTTTAGAAGCAGAGGGTTTGCTTCGCAATGTATTTAATACAAAACGGCAGCAGTCACTCTGCAGTTGTAACAAAATTAGCCATAGGGTGTCTGGAGAAAGGTACACAGGCGGCCCCAGCTGGAGTCAGGCCAGCCCAAGCAGGCATGCTCGGGTAGGGCCTGTGCCTGCTGCCCAGTCAGCTGTGGGTGGTCACATGGCCAGGACTGGACAATGTCCGTGGCAGGGCAGTGCACAAGGGCTCAGAGGTGCTCTTCAGGAGGAGCCAGTCTCCAATAGCACACAAAAGCACGCTGCCTTCTGCTCTGCGCCACTGCAGACTCTTAGCAGCACATGTGTTGTTCATTTATCTTTCTTTTTTGAGACAGTCTCGCTCTATAGCCCAAGCTGGAGTACAGTGGTGCCATCTTAGCTCACTGCAACCTCTGTCTCCTGAGTTCAAGTGATTCTCCTGCCTCAGCCTCCTGAGTAGCTGGGAATACAGGTGCGTACCACCATCCCTGGCTAATTTTTGTATTTTTAGTAGAGACAGGGTTTCACCATGTCGGCCAGGCTGGTCTCAAACTCCTGAGCTCAAGTGACCCACCTGCCTCGGCCTCCCAAAGTGTTGGGATTACAGGCGTGTGCCACAGCACCCAGGCATCATTTTTAAATTTTAAATTATTATTTTTTGAGATAGAGTCTCACTCTGTTGCCCAGGCTGGAGTGCAGTGGCACAATCTTAGCACACTGCAACCTCTGCCTCTTGGGCTCAAGCGATTCTGCTGCCTCAACCTCCCGAGTAGCTGCAATTACAGGTATGTGTCACCATGCCTGGCTAATTATTTTTGTATTTTTAGTAGAGATGGGGTTTCACCATATTGGCCAGGCTGGACTTAAACTCCTGAGCTTGTGATCCGCCTGCCTTGGGCTCCCAAAGTGCTGGGACAACAGGCATGAGCCACTGTGCTCAGCCCATTTACTTTTATTTTTAGACACAGGGTCTCACTCTATTGCCCAGGCTGGAGTACAGTGGCCTCATCATAGCTCACTACTAGGCTCAAGTGATCTTCCCGCTTCGGCCTCCCAAAGTGCTGGGATTACAGGTGTGAGCCACCATGCCTGGCCAAGCACGTGTGTTCACATGCTAGGAGCTGATACCTCTAGAAACTGGAAGAAATAAGGACTAGGTTTTTTTTTTTTTTTTTAGATAGTTTCACTCTCATTGCCCAGGCTGGAGTGCAATGGTGCAACGTTGGCTCACTGCAACCTCCTTCTCCCAGATTCAAGCAATTCTCCTGCCTCAGCCTCCCAAAGTAGCTAGGATTACAGGTGCCTGCCACCATGCTCAGCTAATTTTGTTGTATTTTTAGTTGAGACAGGGTTTTACCATGTTGGCTAGGCTGGTCTTGAACTCCTGACCTCATGTGATCCACCTACCTCTGCCTTCCAAAGTGCTGGGATTATAGGTGACATGAGTCACTGTGCCTGGCTAGGCTAGGGTTTTTTAATTTTTTTTTCTCCCAGAAAGAGAGACTGCAAATTAAGTATGCCTTATCCAAAATGCTTAGAACCAGAAGTGTCTCAGATTTCAGGATTAGGGATATTCAACCTGTACCCAGTTCTAGTACATGAAGTGGGCCATGATTCTGCTGTGCTTGAGCAGAGAGATCTCCATGTCAGAGGCCTCCCCCAAGAAGAAGAGGGGGGTACCTGCATGCCCCCAGGTGCCTACCCTGGGAGGTGGGCTTGGAAGTTAGAGAGCAAGGGCAGAGTCACCAAAGCCCATCCGAACAATTCCCTGACAATATGCTTCCTGCTGAGTCCATTTTAAATTACAGAACACTAGTCCTGGCACTGGCCTGGCTGTGAGGCCCATGTGCTTGGCAGCCGTTATGTAGAACGTTGTAGAATGCAACCTCATCCAGAGGCCAGAGGGTTGACGCAAGAAGAGCGGCTGGGCAGGAAGGCCTGCTGCGGGCAGGGTGGGAGAGCTGCCACATCTCTACTTCCCAAGAAAGGCCTCTAGGTGCAGGAAAAGGGGGTCTTGGGACTAGTGAAAGTCCGCATTGAAGGCTCTGCCGATGACCAGCCGCCTCACCTCGCTGGTTCCAGCCCCTATCTCATACAGCTTGGCATCTCGAAGAAAGCGGCCCATGGGAAAGTCATTGATGTAGCCATTGCCACCTGCAACCAGGGTTTGGGCAGAGAAGAAAGGAAGTGACCGACAGTGGGTGAAACAAAGACAGCAAACAGAAGGCCAAGTATATAGAACAGGCCACAGAAGGAGAGACTGATAAAAGTGAAGCAGCAAAAGGGAGCGAGAGGGAGGGGTTTGGGGAATACACTAGTCCCTCCCTATCCTTGGGAGGTACATTCCAAGACCCCAGTGGATGCCTGAAACTGTGGACAGTACCAAATCCCATATATGCATATTTTCCCTATACATACATACTTATGAGAAAGTTATTTATGAGTTAGGCAAAGTAAGAGATTAACAGTAATAATTCTAAAATAGAACTATTATAACCACATGCCAGCATCACTACTCTTGCACTTTGGGGCCACTTAGTAAAATAAACGTTACTTAGACACAGGCATGGTGTTACTGAGATGGCTGAATGGATACCCTAGGTGACTGCCAACAGGAAGGCGGCCCACACAGCATGGATATGCTGCACAAAAGGATGGCTCACTACCAAACATGACAGAGAAGCATGGCACAACACTCATCATGCTTTTTAGGATGGTGTGGACTTTAAACTAAACTTATGAATTATTTATTTCTAGGAACTTCCATTTAGCTTTTTTTTTTTGAAACTGAGTTTCGCTCTTGTTGCCCAGTCTGGAGTGCAATGGCACAATCTCGGCTCATCCCAACCTCTGCCTCCCAGGTTCAAGTGATTCTCCTGCTTCACCCTCCCGAGTAGCTGGGACTACAGGCATGCTTCACCAGGCCTGGCTAATTTTGTAATTTTAGTAGAGACAGGGTTTCTTCATGTTGGTCAGGCTGGTCTCAAACTCCTGACCTCATGTGATCTGCCCGCCTCAGCCTCCCAAAGTGCTGGGATTATAGGCGAGAGTCACCGCGCCTGGCCTATGGCATTTTTTTTTTTCTGAGCCGGAGTGTCGCTCTTGTCACCCCGGCTGGAGTACAAAGGCGCAATCTCCAGTCACTGCAACTTTTACCTCCTGGGTTCAAGCGATTCTTCAGCCTCAGTTTCTCAAGTAGCTGGGATTACAGGTGCCTGCCACTATGCCTGGCTAATTTTTTTTGTATTTTTAGTAGAGACAGGGTTTTAGCATATTGGCCAGGCTGGTCTCCAACTCCTGACCTCAGGTGATCCACCTGTCTCAGCCACCAAAGTGCTGGGATTATAGGTGTGAGTGACCACGCCTGGCTGTGCTTTTTTTTTTGAGATGCAAGTCTCGCTCTGTTACCCAGGATGGAGTGCAAAGGCGCAATCTCAGCTCACTGCAACCTCCGCCTCCCAGGTTCCAGTGATTCTCCTGCCTCAGCCTCCCAAGTAGCTGGGATTACAGGCCCAGTTAATTTTTGTATTTTTAGTAGAGACGGGGTTTCACCATGTTGGCCAGGCTTGTCTCCAGCTCCTGACCTCAGGGGATCCGCCTGCCTCGGCCTCCAAAAGTGCTGCGATTACAGGCGTGAGTCACATCGCCCGGCTCCATTTTGTATTTTTGGACCTTGGTTGACCACAGTAACTGAAACCATGGAAAGACAAGCCGAAGAAAAGAGGGGACTCCTGTGCCTTGTTCGGGGTAGGGTGGGTGAGGTTGTGGCTGAAAGGCCACCCAGAGTGTTGAAGATACCTAACAAAGAAATGGTGGAGCCACTGACAGACATGGCAAGTAGGGACAAGAACACGCTGGCGTAGCAGCTCAAGAATTCAAACCTCGGCTGCCCGGCTCAAGTCTGTGCTCTTAACCACTGCACAACATGGAAACAAGACCGGTCTACCTGAGACATCTCCCTTTCCCCATTTCCTGGTGTCTATGAGACCGGGCAGGGAGGATGAGATGGGGTTGTTGCCGAAGGCAACAGCAACTCCTGGTCTCTAGCAGTTTTCTCATTAGCTTTCCATTTCTTTCTTGTAACTGGGACAGAAGGAACCTAAAGGTGCCAGCTCAGCTGGGCCTAGCATAAGCACATAGTGAGAAGTGGAGAGGCAACCGCTTTTTCTTTTCTTTTTGAGATGGAGTCTCGCTCTTTTCACCCAGGCTGGAGTGCAATGGTGTGATCTCAGCTCACTGCAACCTCCACCTCCCAGATTTAAGCGATTCTCCTGCCTCGCCGTCCCAAGTAGCTGGGATTACAGGCATGCACCATCACGCCTGGCTAATTTTTGTATTTTTATTAGAGATGGGGTTTCTCCATGTTGGCCAGGCTGGTCTCGAACTCCTGACCTCAGGTGATCCACGCGCGTTGGCCTCCCAAAGTGCTAGGATTAGAGGCGTAAGCCACTGCGCCCACCCGGAAACTGCTTTCTGAAGCAGCTACAGGTCCCAAGAGCAAGGGAGACCTAGGAATGAGGAGCAGGGGCCACTCACCAAAACACTGAATGCCGTCCAGGGCTACCTGTGTGGCACACTCAGCTGAGTAAAGAATCACACCTGCACAGTCCTACAGGAGGAAGCTTGGGTCAGCAGGGGCCTTTGAGGCACACAGACAGCAAGGCCCAGCAGCCGGTCCACTGCCCCTGCCTCTCCCCCACTGAGGCTGGCTCTCACCTTGGCAGTGCAGTGGCCCTCATCGCAGGCCTTGGCGACATTGTAGACATACTGCCGACACGCCATGAGGCGGGTGTACATGTCAGCCATCTTCCCCTGCATCAACTGGGCACAAAGGGTGGTCACAGATCAACATGCTGGAACACTCTCCCAGTTACGAAAAGCAGGTCAGCAACGGCAATAAGACAGCCAAGGATGAGGAAGCAGGTGCATGGAGAGGAGATGGGATTTACCCAGGATGGTAGAGATGGATAGGCAGATGTGGGAGTTAGAATGGCCAGAGAGTGGCTGTTCCACGGCCCACACTGAACCCTGCAGTGGCCATCACTGACTCTGAAAAGCATGGCTCCCAAGGCACTGTCTACTGCAATGCTTATTACCTTCCAGCAGCTTTTTCAGACCAGAAGGTCTAACTGCAAATGACAACCTCTTTTCCCTTCTGCGCCCACAACCTGCATGCTTCACTCTCCAACCTCACAATGTCTAGTTCATCCACCTTACACAGGAACCGAGGTGGCAATGTGACAAACTTCCTGATGACTTCCAGAGCCCAGCTGCACACTGAGGAAAACTGCATTCCAAGCAGTCAAGCTGAATTTGCTAGAGAAGATAGTAAATATCCATGGTGCCTGCCCCACTTCCTCTCTCTTCAAAGAAAACTTTAGCCCAGTTGAAGAGCACATGTCAGCAAAAGCACTCGGCTCACCTGGAAGTGGCCGATCTTCTGGCCAAAGGCTTCCCTCATGTGCAGGTAGGGAATGGTGTGGTCCAGGACCGCTTGCATGAGCCTACCAGAAAGGAGAAAGGCCCCATGAGCCCCTCCTCATCCCACCACTAGGTGCAGAGGCAAAACGCTGGTGTGGGAAGGCCGGAGTCCCAGCGAAGAGAAAAGCAGCTTCAGAAACTCTTGCCACAGTTATGGCCCTGACTGACCACAGGTACAGGGGGCGTTAGAGCCCAGATGTCATTTAACAGCTGAGTAAGTCACCCCCTGCTCCTCAGGCCTTTTGTCTGTCACTTAATGATATTTCCCTGCGGTGGGAAGAAATTAAACATGGGAGGAGGAGGTTCTTTTTGTCTCCCAGGAGAGTGCAGGGCCAGGAGATGGCTCCCTTTGGCCTCCCAAGGGGAAGGCTGCTGCTGCTCATGGTGGGTCACCCACCAGGAGGACAACAGAGCCCAGCTTCCCCCAAGCCTCACACTTACCCAAGAGGCCCTCCGGCCAGCACCAGCCGCTCCAGGTCCAGCCCACTCATTAGCACGTAGACACCCTTATTCTCATGGCCCAGGATGTTGGCAGCTGCCAGGATAAATGATGGTCAGAGGTAGAGAGCTGTGCACAGCCTCCTCACTTTTATCAAAGGCACCTGATTTGGAAATATGGCTCTCAAGCAAGGCAAATATGTCAACTGACTTTCAACTAAGGTTCCAGGTGAAAGAAAAGGATCAAGTGTATCCCTTCCAGTCAGAAATGGAGCTACCAGGACCCCCACCCCATCCACAAGGCCAGCCACAAAGCCCAGGGTTGACAGATCTTTCCCTTCCCTCGCTGGACTCCCTTGGAAGGGAAAGAAGAAAAGCGAATTGGTCTAGAAGTCACCCAACCCCTCCCTGACTCTTTCTATACAGGCACCTATAAAGAAACCAGAGAGTTACTCTTTTCCCCCAGGTAGAGTCAGCTCTGATCCAATGTCAGCTCCCTGCAGGGTAGTCCATGAAAGCTTCTTTGTCCAGGAGACAGGCCATTCAGAGCTAGTGACAGAAGCTGCTGAGCACCTCTCCACCCAGTAAGCCAGGACACGGGATGGTCTTGGAGGTGTGGGCAGGAAAATGAGTTGACACCACTGACCTGTTTTTAATGCTTGCTGAATTTTCCCTTCCAAAGAAGGAGCTGAACAGATTCCCTTCCCTGGATGCTCCTTGCAATTAAAGCACATTTTTCTGGGCTGTCAGATTATGGGTGTTAGGCATAGTATATGGCTGAGGAAGACAGCTAATGTGATCAAATCCATGCCCCTGTCCAGGTGTGGTGTCTCATGCCTGTAATCCTGGCACTTTGGGAGGCCAAGGCGAGTGGATCACCTGAGGTCAGGAGCTCGACAGCAGCCTGGCCAATATGGTGAAACCCTGTCTCTACTAAAAATACAAAATTAGCTGAGCGTGGTGGCACGTGCCTATAATCCCAGCTACTCAGGAGGCTGAGACAGGAGAATCGTTTGAACCCGGGAGGCGGAGGTTGCAGTGAGCTGAGATTGTGCCATTGCAGTCCAGCCTGGGCAACAAGAGTGAAACTCCATCTCAAGAAAAGAAAAATTAGCTGGGCAGGATGGCATGTGCCTGTATTCCCAGAGACTTGGGAGGCTGAGGTAGGAGAATCGTTGGAATCCAGGAGGTAGAGGCTGCAGTGAGCCAACCTCACGCCACTGCACTCTAGCCTGTGTGACAGGGTGAGACTCCTCAAAACAAAAAAAACCCTAAACAACAAATCCATGCCCCTGGTCTGGTTAGTACATGATGGCTGCACTGGTTCTCCCACAGCGCTCTACCACGTCACACTTCAGTTCCTTGGGAGAGAAAATACTCATACCCAAACAGAACTGCCTTCTCTTCACTGAGTCTGACTTCCATCAGTGGATTCAGATGTGTTTTTACAGCATTATTAATACTAAAAATGAATAACTCATTTAAAAACTTTTTTACAAAAATATGAGTTGATGAGTTACATGCAGTAGACTCGCAAAAGTAGAGAAAGAGTGAAGCACATCAGTGGGAAAGGGCAGGTCTGACCCTTCTCCTCTGGTTACTGGATACAGACCTCACACAGAGTGTGCGATGCCAGTCAGGCATGCTGCTGCAGGGATCTGGCTAGGAAGGAGCGCTGTCCAGCAGCCCCAGCCCAGCACCACAGTGCCGAGCCTCTCTAACCCAGAGGCTTTCTCAGCTTGAGAACAGCCACATCAGCCTGGAAAGGGGTCAGGAGAGGGGTTCCCTAATTCTCGGTGCTACTTACCAGGAACCTTGCAGTCTTCAAAGATGAGCTCACAGGTGTTAGAGCCCCTCATCCCCAGCTTGTCCAGCTTCTTAGAGGTACTAAAGCCAGGCATACCCTTTACAAGAAACAAAGGGTGGTCCTGGTTACAGATTAGCCCCAAGGGGGCCTGGTAAAGGAAAGAACCCCTGGGAAGAAGGCACCCACTTTCCTATCAAGTCCCTGTGCCTGCACGGCATGGCAGCATCCCAGTCCCATGCTCCCCCCAGGACCTTCCAGTGCTACTAAAACCCCAGACTGATTGCAGCCTCCTCTGCTGCTAGCTTGTGTTCTCCCCAGTTCTCATGGGGACAGTTCTTTCTCAATCATATGCTCAATTCCTGAGCCCTCCTGACCTCACTGGGCCTTGTTTCCCTCCCCCAGGGGACATTATTTTCAAGACACTCTCACCAGCCCAGTCAATTCCCTTATCTTCTGTTGTTCTTCTGTCTGTACCCAAAGGGATCCACCAGGGCTGAACTGAATCACCACTGTGCTTTGACCTGGACTACTGGGTTGCAGCATGTTGGTGCCCAGCAGAGTGCTCGCACATGCTGCCCTTCACCTGTAATGAGGGTGCTCTTCACCCTATAACGTAGGCAGAGTTATGCAACCTTGAGATTTCCAACCTTGGCCGGGCACAGTGGCTCACGTCTATAATCCTCGCACTTTGAGAAGCTGAGGTGCTACTAAAAATACAAAAGATTAGCTGGGTGTGGTGGTGGGTGACTGTAATCCCAGCTACTCGGGAGGCTGAGGCAGGAGAATTACATAAACCTGGGAGGCGGAGGTTGCAGTGAGCCAAGATTTTGCCATTGCACTCCAGCCCCAGCGACAGTGCGAGGCTCCGATTCGAAAAAGAAAAAAAAAAAGGAAAAGATTTCCAATCTCAGCCAGGTCCCTACTGCTCCAACCCTAGACAGCTACTTTCCCCCTCCTCTCTATGGAGGGTACCACAGACCTTTACAATATACACTCAAGAAACTCTCTGCCAACTCCCCCACCCCTGTGACCCGAGCCTTCTCAGGGCTCCAGCTTCCTCCTCCTGATTGTTAGGCAGCTGGTTCCCGCACCATCACCTGTAACCCATCCTTATCTCTCCTGCTCCCGCTCACCATTGTGTTCTGTGAACTCTTTCCCACATATCTCAATTCCTACCTCAGTTTTCCTTTTTCCTTTCCTTTTTTTTCTCCTTCTGACAAAAGATTTGCTGTTTTTCTAATTCCTAAAAACAAACCCAAACTCCCAACTTCTCCTCTGAACTCCTGCTGTGCTTCCTTCTCACTTTTGCTGTCAAGGCTGCCACAGATGCAGTCTCCACTTGCATCCCCCGCACACCTCGGTCTCCTGTGGCCACGCTCACCAGGTCCACCAGTGGTACCCTGACTGTCACATCCCGACCTCCTTTCAGTCCTCCCCTTCCTAGACCTCTCTGTGTGGCCTGGCGCTGAGGATGGCTTTACGGTCTTCAGAAGTGAGCCATCTGCCCTGGACTCCCTGGACTTTCTGGTCACCCTCCTTACCGTTTGCTCTCTGCCTCACCCCACCTCTGGGGACCTTGCAGAACACACAACATTGATCGCATTTGAGATCATTGGAAGGGGCCATCTCTGGTACCACTGTCAGGAGGCAGAAGCCTCCCTGGCCCTGCACCCACCTATACTTACCTTCTCCACAATGAAGGCTGTGATGCCCCGAGAAGCCGGCACAGCAGCCAGATCTGTCTTGGCATAGACAATCAGGACGTCAGCATCAGGGCCATTAGTGATCCAGAACTTGTTGCCATTCAGGATGTAGTGATCTCCTAAGGGCAGGATGTTGGCTATTTGCTCAAGCCATCTTGGCCTGTCTGTCAGGCCACAGACCTTCTGCTGTGCAAGAAGTTGTCCAGCTCTGAAAAAGTTCTGGAAACCCAGCAGGGGCCACCCCAATTGTTGCTCCCTCACCCTGATGTCTGTACCTCTGCCCATTTTGGCTCCCAAGTCAAGAGTGGCCTTACCTTTCTTTTCTGCTTTGAGCTTCATAGAGACAACGTCAGAGCCTGCATTGGGCTCACTCATGGCCAGGGCTCCGATGTACTCACCACTGATCAGCTACAAGGAAAACCCCCAACAGACCTTGTTATAACCTTGGAGTACCCTAGAGCAGCTCACTGACACTGCTTCTTCCTGTCCACATTACACCCCTTCAAACTTCTCTCCCAGACCAAGGTATCAATAAAGTCGTAGAAGTCTCTTCTAAGAAGCCTGATGACAAAGCTGAAAACACCTCTCCTTTTTCCATTCCCTTTGCAAAGGAAGCTAGTCCTACTCTTCCATTTCTGTGCCCAATGCAAGAGTTCTGGTCCTATTTTTAATATTTTTGGCTCAAGTATTTTAAAGCAATCCATGACCCCTTCCTAACCACATTTGGTTCATGGCAGCATGCTACAGAAAGCAGGTCTGACTGGCCCCCACCAAGGGGAGAGGGTGTCTTCCAGTTGGCAGTTGCACTGTGAGATTAGCATGTATTTAATTTCCATTTCCTCACCTTGGGGAGATACTTCTCTTTCTGGGCCTCATTCCCATTGCGCACAAGCTGGTTGATGCAAAGGTTGGAGTGGGCACCGTAACTGAGCCCCACTGCTCCAGAAGCTCGGGATATCTCCTCCATCACCAGCACATGCTCCAGGTAGCCCAGGCCAGAGCCGCCATACTGAACTGGGAGTGGTGTGGTACAAGTGAGTGGAAAAGGCAGCCCAGATTAAATCGGGACATTTGTAAGAATCTTGCATTTGTTGGTAGAAAGGAACCTTGTAGCATCTATTCCAAATTCCACTAGCAACATGAATAGGCTGATGGCACGAACCTGCTTACAAGCTCACTGGACTGGTTTTGCCTGCTGCTGCTGGGAGGCTGAGGGGTGGTTCCGAAGTCAACATTGCAACTCCCACTTCATCCCAGAGAGAACTCTTGATGTAGATACATGAGCAACTTGGGCACCCACTACTCACAAAGTAACACAAATACAGAGGCAGATGAATACATGAAGAAAGAGGGCCTGGAGTTTAACAGAGGAAAAACAAAGGCATCGGGGTGGGGGTGGTGTCCAAAGCACCAGGAACAGATGCTACAAAGCCAGAGGATGTGATGTGTGTACAAAAGGCTAAAGAAGGTGAGATTTTTTTTTTTAGATGGAATTTTGCTCTGTTGCCCAGGCTGGAGTACAATGGCGCAGTCTTGGCTCACTGCAACCTCTGCCTCCCGGGTTTAAGCTATTCTCCTGCCTCAGCCTCCCAAGTAGCTGGGATTATAGGCACCTTCCACCACGCTCCACTAATTTTTGTATTTTTAGTAGAGACGGTGTTCCACCATGTTGGCCAGGCTGGTCTTGAATTCCTGACATCGTGATCTGCCCACCTCGACCTCCCAAAGTGCTGGGATTACAGGTGTGAGTCACCGCGCCCGGCCGGGAAGGTGAGATTTTATAGCATAGGGCTGAACCCAAAGAAGCAGGACTGGTAACAGGACAGGAGAGTCACAGCCTCAGGGAGAATCTGGAGGTGGACTGTGCAGCAGACAGCAGATGAGATGCTGGCAGAGAATTTAAGAATTCCTCATAAAATATGCCTGTTTTCCTTGGCAGCAGATCCAAACTCAAAGTGGCTGGGTCACCTGATACCACCCCCAACCCTGCTGATTGGGTCAAGCCTAGCAAGGTCCTATGCACATGTTCACTCTGACCAAGAAGTCAGGCTGGTCCTAGACTTGACCTGCCCCTACAACTGCAGGAAGGAAAGCCTGAAGGCAGGCAACATTGGAAACAGCCGCCAGGACATCATGCAGAAACCAGAACTCGCATTGGCTTTCTCTTTCAGGTTCTCCCTTGAAAGAGTTTTCATCTGATTTCTTTTCTTTTTTTTTTCCAGAGAGGGGCTCTCACTCTCTTGCCAGGCTGGGGTACAATCATGGCCCACTGCAGCCTTGAACTCCTGGGCTCAAGCGATCCTCCTGCCTTGGCGTCTGGAGTTGCTGGAATTACAGGAGCCCACTACCACACCCGGCCATTTTCACCTGATTTCTAACTGCCTCTTTCTTCCATAAAATACAGTCTGATTCAGAAGTATACTGTCTGCAGGCAGTGGGGCGCATAAACCCCCAAAACACATTTGGAGAGTCTTGCTTAGGAGTGCCCAGCAGCCTTTCCCCCAACACTTTTACATTAAGATGGTCTGTATTAATCTTTAAGTGTTTTCATTTTATCATTGTCTATGATGAAACTTTCTAGGAGATAAGGAGAAGTATATGAACTCTAACCTGTGGGCAGAAGAGGACACGGGCAATCCCCACAGGGACACCTGCCCGAGTGTTCCTGCCAAGAAGCCACTGGTAGGGCAGAGCTTATAGGGATTAGGGGAGGGAGTAAGGCTGAGGTACTATGAAGACAATCACTTGATCCAGAGTTTTCTTTTTTTTTGAGGGGGAGACAGGGTTTTGCTCTGTTGCCAGGCTGGAGTACAATGGCGCGATCTTGGCTCATTGCAACTGCCGCCTCCTGAGTTCAAGCGATTCTCCTGCCTCAACCTCCCGAGTAGCTGGGACTACAGGTGCCATGCCCAAATAATTTTTGTATTTTTAATGGAGATGGGGTTCACCATGTTGGCCAGGCTGGTCTTGAACCCCTGACCTCGTGATCCACCTGCCTCAGCCTCCCCAAAGTGCTGGGATTACAGGTGTGAGCCACCAAGCCTAGCCTGATCCAGAGTTTTCTAAACTTCCCAAATCACCTGGGGGAACCTATTAAGTATGCAGAGTTCAAGAGTTGGACTGATCCTGATCCAAGTGAGCCACACTAACCTAAGTAATCTCTCTGCCTTCTGTACATCACTGTCTAATGAAATAGAAGTGTGTCCTCTTCTCTGGGCTGACAGTTAATGGGTGCTTTCACAGGTCCAAAGGAGGCAGTTCTGGGTTTTTTTTTTTTTGGAGATGGAATCTTGCTCTCTCAACCAGGCTGGAGTGCAGTGGTGTGACCTTGGCTCACCACAACCTCTGCCTTCGAGATTCAAGCAACTTTCCCGACTCAGCCTCCCAAGCAGCTGGGATCATAGGGGCCTGCAACCACAATCCAGCTAATTTTTGTATCATTTAGTAGAGACAGGGTTTCACCATGTTGGCCAGGCTGCTCTCGAACTCCTGACCTCAGGTGATCCACCCACGTCGGCCTCCCAAAGTGCTGGCATTACAGGCATGAGCCACCACGTCCGACCCAGTTCTGGGTTTAAGCACAATCTTTCCCTTCTCTACCTGCTTCTTTTGAGAACTGTCTTAAAGGGCACATAAGAAAATTTCTCTTTAGGGAGACACTATACTCACCAGGAGCTGTGATGCCCAATACACCCAGGTTCCCTAGCTGCTTCCAAAATTCCTGCAAACAGAATGGAGTGGAGTGGAATGAGTTTTGAGGGGAAGGCAGACAGTCACATGTGGCTGGAACAATGAGACCCAAACACTTCAGAGAGAGGGGCTGCATTCTTAGGGAGGCTTCATTTACCACAAAACTGTGTGAGGTCTTCCAGGCAGCAGCACAACTCAGCCCCACTCCCAGACTGCCCCCATGGCCCAGGCCTCCCAACTCACTCGAAGGTTCTTGAACTCATTGCTGCGATCAATCTCCTGGGCCTTGGGGGCCAGCTGGTCCTGAAGGAACTTAGCCATGGTCTGACGAAGCTAACAGGAGAGAGGTAAACAGATGCCACTGTGGACAGCATCTCCACTACCAAGGGCACATTCAGGAGAAAAGGCCACAGTAACTTCACCAAATAGCACAGGACTGAAACTGAGAGGCCTCAGTACTTTAAGCCCCCTCAGAGATGATCTTCACCCCTCTTTCTTAAGGTCTTTGGCCTAGAGAGCTTGATGGTACTTTTTAAAACATCACTCCCCTACATAAAAATCAATCTGGCTGGGCAGAGTGGCTCACACCTGTAATCCCAGCACTTTGGAAGGATGAGGTGGGTGGATCACCTGAGGTTGGGAGTTGGAGAACAGCCTGACCAACAAAGAGAAACCCCCTCTCTACTAAAAATACAAAATTAGCCAGGTGTGGTGGCCGTAATCCCAGCTACTTGGGAGGCTGAGGCAGGGGAATTGCTTGAACGTGGGAGGTGGAGGTTGTAGTGAACCGAGATAGCGCCACTGCACTATAGCCTGGGCAACAGGAGTAAAACTCCATCACCAAAATAATAATAATAATCAGGGCAGGCGAGGTGGCGCACGCCTGTAATCCCAGCACTTTGGGAGGCTGAGGTGGGTGGATCACAAGGTCAGGAGTTCAAGACCAGCGTGGCTAATACGGTGAAACCCCAGCTCTACTAAAAATGCAAAAATTAGCCAGGTGTGGTGGCGCACGCCTGTAGTCCCAGCTACTTGGGAGGCTGAGGCAGGAGAATCGCTTGAACCTGGGAGGTGGAGGCTGCAGTGAGCCCAGATAGCACCACTGCCCTCCAGCCTGGGCAGCAGAGCAAGACTCCATCTCGGGGAGGAAAAAAAAAAAAAAAAAAAAAATCATTCCACTAGTTTGCACTGTACCGATGAAACAGAAGCTCCTGAAGCAGGCCTGCAAGGCCCTGCAGGAGCTGACCCCAGCTGACTCTCTCAGCTTCCTCAGCACCTTCCCACCTCCCACCCACTATGCTCTAGCTGCACTCCAGGCAGCCTCCAGATCCACAGGTGTCAGGCTCTTTCTAGGCCCTGAACCTTTGACTAAAAGGGACTGAATACTCAGAGAGTGTATTGGGAAACTCCTCTTGGCAGGAAAGCTTGAGAATAGGGATTGAACCCTTTCTGCCTGAGGTGGGTCACGGAAGCTCTGAAACATAAACTGTGAAGTTGCTGAAAGGCTCATAGTTCCACCAACTAAATCCAGCCTCCAAGTGAAGCCTCAGGAAGGAATCTGGTTCCGCTCGATTTCTAACTTCTTTTCTACATTTTACGAGGTGGGGTCTGGCTACGTTGTTCAGGCTGATCTCAAACCCTTGAGCTCAAACAGTCCTTCCACCTCGGCCTTCCAAAGCGCTAGGATTTCAGGTGTGAGCCCTGGTACCTGCCCTCTAACTACTTCTTTCAAGTACTTGTTCAACTTTGTGCTTTGACCTAATGGGCTGAAGAGCGACAGGAGAGCTCGCTGTGGCTTTTTAAATGAAACCCTCGACGTGTTTATACAAAAAAAAAAAAGACTTCCTGGTGATTACGAGGATCATCCAGGTGTGAGACGCATACCTCAGTATTCAGGGGTAAGTGAGCTACTACATACAGATTGAGGACCCTTGTGCCATAAGCGGTAGCCTGGCCAATCACCCACCAAAATGCCATCATGCTCTCAGGAGCTCTCCCAGCCTCGACTCCTCTCTACTTCCAGCAGTCCTGCCTTGAGGTCGCAAATCTCCACTCCACAGACGAGGCTCCGGAGGCCCCGCGTCCTGCCCACGAGCTAGCGCTCCCAATCGCCCACAGGCAAAAAAGCCACGGCTGGAAGGAGGCCTTGGGGCCAGGAGGGGGGTCAGTCTCCTCACCTGCTTCTGCTCCTCGCTTAGCCCGTTGATTGCATCGTCCACGGGCAAAAGCGAGTGGGCCCGCTGGGAAACGAAGCCGGCAAGCGGCGGCCGCAGCCTCCAACTCCCCACACGCCGCCCCAGCAGCCGAGCCGCAGACGCCATCTCTGCCCTGCACCAGGAACGAGAGATGCAATGAGTGAGCTCTTCCAGCTCCCCCAATCCAGGCTTCGCCTCCCCGCTAACCCGCGAGGGGGAAGGTCGATAGCAGCCAATCACGTTCCGCGGCCCGCCGCAGGCGGAGCTGTCCTTTGGCCTCACTGGAGCCAATCAGCCGTGGTCGCCCGCCAGCTTCCAGCCAGTGTAGCAGCCGCAGGCCGGGTGGGCCTGCCCCGAGCGCTGGAAATGCTGACGTGCTCCCTAGGGCGGGTCGTTAGGGTGGTAGACGAGCATTTGTTTTTTCCTTTTTATCTCCCTGCGTTGAAATAGCAGCCCCTAACTGCGGAAATCTCTGTGGGAGAGCGAAGTGTGGAAACAGCCATCAGAGAACTGCCCACGTGCCCATTAAATTAGTCAAGCATCTCTGGAATAAACAATGGGAAAGTAGTGCCTCCTCTGCTGTGCAAACTGATTATAACTTAGTCCAACTTGCTTTATTATATAACAAGGTTTGTAGATTTTGATTAATGTTTTATGGGAAAGGGGTTACTAAGGGGTAGCTGCCTTCCAGGTTGGAGATGCTTTTGGATTTACAGTAGGGTCACTTCTCGATAAACCCATTATAAATTGAAAATATTGTTCGGCGTGGTGGCTCACACCTGTAACCCCAGCACTTTGGGAGGCCGAGGCGGGTGGATCACGAGGTCAAGAGATCGAGACCATCCTGGTCAACATGGTGAAACCCGTCTCTACTAAAAATACAAAAAATTATCAGGGCGTGGTGGCGCGTGCCTGTAATCCCAGCTACTCAGGAGGTTGAGGCAGGAGAATTGCCTGAACCCAGGAGGCGGAGGTTGCGGTGAGCCGAGATTGTGCCATTGCACTCCAGCCTGGGTAACAAGAGCGAAACTCCGTCTCAAAAAAAAGAAAATTGCAGGCTGGGTGAGGTAGCTCACGCCTGTAATCCCAGCACTTTGGGAGGCTGAATCACAAGGTCAAGTGATCGAGACCAACCTGGCCAATATGGTGAAATCCCATCTGTACTAAAAATATAAAAATTAGCTGGGCATGTGACCCACGCCTATAGTCCCAGCTATTCAAGAGGCTGAAGTAGGAGAATCACTTGAACCTGGGAGGCAGAGTCTGCAGTGCACTGAGATCATGCCACTCCACTCCAGCCTGGCAACAAAGCAAGACTCCATCTCGAAAAATTTTTTTAAAAAGAAAGACACCCTTGAACAAGATTTCATGAGTTTCTGGGTTGAACACAGAGGGCATGGAAGCTCTGCACACCTTTCCCCATACGTTTCCCTATCTATTTCTTCCATCTGGCTGTTCATGTGTACCCGTTGTAATATCCTCTATAATATGCCAGTAAATTTAAGTGTTTCCCCAAGTTCTGTGAGCCACCCTAGCAAATTAATCGAACCCAAGGAAGGGGTCATGGGAATCTTGTTTTTTTGGCTTGTTAATCAGACATATAGGTGACAATCTACTTGTGATTGGCATCTGAAGTCGGGGGCAGTCTTGTGAGATTGAGCCCTAACCTGTAGGGTCTGACTCTTAACTCCAAGTAGATAGTGAAAGAACTGAAATTATATTTTTTGAGATGGAGTTTTGCTCTGTTTCCCAGGATGGAGTGCAATGACGCCATCTTGGCTTACTGTAACCTCTGCCTCCCAGGTACAAGTGATTACCCCATGTCAGCCTCCCAAGTAGCTGGGATTACAGGTGTGCACCACCACGCCTGGCTAATTTTTGTATTTTTAGTAGAGACGGGGTTTTGCCATGTTGGCCAGGCTGTTCTGGAACCCCTGACCTCAGGTGATCTGCCCACCTTGTCCTCCCAAAGTGCTGGGATTACAGGCAAGAATTGAAATTAATATAGAACACCCAGTTCGTGTCTGCTGGAGAACAGTTTGGTGTGTGGGGAAAAAAATTCCCCACATCTGGTCACAGAAGTATTCTGTGTTAAGTGTGTGAGATAAAAAAGTTTTTTTCTTTAATGACCAAGTAGGATTTATCCTGGTTATGAAAGTATCAAAAACCAAAATTACAACAAATTTAAATATCTTAATTAGCTTTATTTCAGATTCTAGTTACTTTTCTTGTAAAGGGCAAAGCAGAGAGGACTTCCATATCATGCCTCTAACCTGGCCTGTTTTAGGATTTGGCTATTTCTTCTCCTGATTTCTTTATTTTTATTTTTGACACCACTATCCTGAAGGCATCTTCTGTTTTTTTGGAAGGTCAGTTAAAGATCTTAGTCTGATATACTAGCATGACGACTTACGTTAGAGTAAAAGAAAAAAAAAAGCTTAGTTTGAGCTTTGTGGCATGGACCTTCAGCATGAGTGGCTCCATGATGATTTGGTCTGCTGGGCCTAGGGCAGGAGTTCAGTTCTAGCCAGTGGACTCCTATAAGTTTTATGTAATGAATGGTTCAAATTCAATCAATGTAATTCTACAGAATTCAACAGAATGATAAAAACCACATGAACACATCAATAGATGCAGAAAAAGCATTTGACAAAATTCATCTTTTTATTATAAAAACTCTCAGCAAAGATCAGCAAAGATATAGAACTACCTTAATCTAATAAGGGATATCTATAAATAAACTACAGCTTATACTATACTTGGTAATACAATGTTGAATCACTTTCCCCTGGAGGTTGGGAATGAGGCAAGGATGTATACTATCACCACTGTGCTTTTCATTGTACTAGAGATTCTAGACAGTGCAATTAGGCAAGATAATAAAGAAAATAGAAATGTACAGTATATAGAAAGCACAGTATATACATATGTGAAGGAAGGAAGAAGTATAACTCATTATTTGCAAATGATATGACCATGTATGTAGGAAATGTTTTTAAAAATAGAAAAGAATCTATATAAGCTATTAGAATAAATGAAGTTAGCAAGATAATTGGATATAAAAACACTATATAATAGGTATTACTAGAAACAACACTTGGAAAACAAGATTTTAAAAATATAATTTGGGAGTCTCTCTGAACCTATTCTTGTTTGGGAGACAGCCTGATTTAAATAAACATATTTAAAGATATACAAATATATATTTAAATATACAAATATATATATTTTTGTAAATTATATATATACACGTAATTTACAAAAGCAGTAAGAACTTCAATCACATGAGAATAAATCTAATAAAAGATGCGCAAGATCCCTACTCTGAAAATTATGAGAACATTGGTGAGGGAAAGACCTAAATAAAGAGCTATACCATGTTAATAGACTGGCTCAGTATTGTTAAGATGTCAGCCCTTCCCATGTTGATCTGTAGATGAACTATAATCCTAATCAGTATCCCAACAAGCCTTTTAAAAATAGAAACTACAAAGCTGATTTTAAAATGTATGGAAATGCAAGAGACCTAGAATAGCTATGGCCAGATGCAGTGGCTCACGCCTGTAATCCCAGCACTTTGGAAGGCTGAAGCGGATCACCTGAGATCAGGAGTTTGAGATCAGCCTGGCCAACATGGTGAAACCCTATCTCTACCAAAAATGTGAAAATTTGCCAGGTGCGGTGGTGGGCGCCTACAATCCCAGCTACCCAGGATGCTGAGGCATAAGAATCGCTTGAACCCAGGAGGAGAAGGTTGCAGTGAGCCAAGATTGCCCCACTGCACTCCAACCTGGGGGATGAGAGCAAAACTCCATCTCAAAAACAAAGCAAAACAACAACAAAAGACCTAGAATAGCAATAAAACTCAGAAGAAGTTGGAGACTTAACACTACCAGAAACAGATGTTTTATAAAGATAAATATACATATACATATTAATATGCTGTGGTATTGGTGATAGAAATCAATGAAACAGAATAGAGTTCAGAAATAGACCCACACGGCCGGGCGTAATGGTTCACGCCTGTAATCCCAGCACTTTGGGAGGCCGAGGTGGGCGGATCACGAGGTCAAGAGATCAAGACCATCCTGGTCAACATGGTGAAACCCCGTCTCTACTAAAAAATACAAAAATTAGCTGGGCGTGGTGGTGCGCGCCTGTAGTCCCAGCTACTCAGGAGGCTGAGGCAGGAGAATTGCTTGAACCCAGGAGGCGGAGATTGCAGGGAGCCGAGATTGTGCCACCGCACTCCAGCCTGGCGCCTGGCAACAGAGCAAGACTCTGTTTTGAAAAAGAAAAGAAATAGACCCACACATAGAGTTGCCTGATTTATAATGAACTCTACAATTACAATTCAGTAAGGAAAAAAATGGTCTTTTCAATAAACAATCCTAAGGCGATTAGATATGTGTATGTAAAAAAAGGAGCTTAAGTTATATATTTCATATCATACAAAAGATTAGAGGTAGTTAATAAGCCTTAATATGAAAGGTAAAAAATAAAGCTTTGGGCCACAAAATTAGGTAAAAACTGAGTAACAAAGTATAAAGTAAAAGCAAAGTACTGCATATTCTCTCCTTAAGTGGGAGTTGAGTAGTACATTGAGTACACATGAACACAGAGAAAGGAACAACAGACCCTGGGGCCTACTTGAGGGTGGAGGGTGGGTGGAGGGTGAGGATCAGAAAACTGCCTATCAGGTTCTATGATCCTTACCTGGGTGACATGCAATTTGCCCATGTAACGAACCTGCACATGTACCCCTGAAAATAAAAGTTGGAAAAAAAAAAAAGTAAAAACATGCTCACATAGGTCAGGTGAGGTACATGATTACTCACACCTGTAATCTCAGTACTTCTGGAGGCCGAGGTGGGCGGATCACCTAAGGTTAGGAGTTTGAGACCAGCCTGGTCAACATGACGGGACCTCATTTCTGCAAAAATAAAAAAATTAGCCAGGCACGGTGGTGTGCATCTGTAGTCCCAACTACCCATAAGGCTGAGGCAGGAGAATCACTTGAACCTGGGAGGCGGAGGTGGCAGTGAACCAGGATTGCATCACTGTACTCCAGCCTGGACCACAGAGTGAGAATGTCTCAAAACAAAAAAAGAAATTAAAAAAGGGCCGGGCACAGTGGTTTATGCCTGTAATCCCAACACTTTGGGAGGCCGAGGCAGGCGGATCACGAGGTCAAAAGATTGAGACCAACCTGGCCAATATGGTGAAACCCCATCTCTACTAAAAATACAAAAATTAGCTGGGTGTGGTGGCATGTTTCTGTAGTCCCAGCTGC